AGACAAAGGAAAACCAAACATGTGCAAAGCTTTTAAGACTTGTTTTCTTCTCCAGGAATAGAAAACATTATCACAGCTATTCAGCAAACCCCACAGCAGGTCTCCAGTGTGTTAATGTTTGTGTTTATGTTTATGTTTATGTTTGTGTTAATGTTCAGAATGAACAAAAACAGAGGAGTGATCCCTCACTGACGATCACTTCTCTCTTTTTTTAATAAACGGGGAAAGTTTTCGTTTAAAGCCTTCATCCAGCGTAGCAGTGGACACTTAAATTAGCACGTTTCTTCATTTGGCATCATTAATTGGAAATATCTCATTAACTACTCGAGTTTTCAAACACAGGAAACAGCTGTTCCTGTGTCAGTCAGTCAGTTTTACAGCTTTGACTCTTATTTCTTTTTGACTGCACGGACGTCAGACTGACGTCTTAACAAACTTCTCCACGGCTCCTTTTCAACAAAGACACAGTTGAACAATTTCCCAAAAGAAAAAATATTATTCAGAAATACACAAGTTAGCTTGTAAAACATTGATTTGAATCTACATTTTACATTTCTGATTTTAGCCTCATACAGAAACTTTCCTGTGGTCAGATTTAGTGAATCATGTGTGCAGTTTAAACTCCATGGGGCGGAGCAACAGGTACCTCCAGTCCTGGATGTTGTCTCATCCATGGATGGAGGATGAGCTGCTGACAGCTCTCAGTAACGCTCAGCTGACACGACTGCCTCGGTTAGTGCCTGATGATGCAGCTCCTGCATAACCTTGCACAGCAGTTACACTGCAGTAGGTCTGTCACTGATTTATCAAACATCAAGTAATATTTGATGCTGGACCTACAGCAGGCAAGCTGAAGGTGCCAGCATCCTGTTTTATTTTCCCTGTTTCAGTTCTCAACAGCTTCATAATTTGTAAACTGCTGATGTGAAGTTCCAGATATTTACCCCCTGGTGAGGTTGTCACCTTCTCCTAATGGTAGCCTGTGAAAATGCCAAATCACAACAACAGTTGCCCCAGGGCCTTCACGCTGTAAGGTAGAGGTCCTTAAATGACTGAGAGAACCCCAACGGCCTCCTACGAGCGAGCACAGCGACCTGTGACCTGCTGAGCACTTTTATTTTATGCTCAGCGGGAAAGA